GAGAGGGATTCAGGGATGCCTTGTTTGCCTTGTGGCAAACTCCCAGTTTCTCACGATACAGGGCTTTAGCCACAGCATAGTGCAGTTCTATGCTTTTTCCTTTTCTGTCTGTTCCTTTAGAAAGGGGAAAATAAAATGTTCCCAAGCTGAAGTTGTAACTAGTCATCTGGCCATCTCTAATTATAAACTAAAGATAAATTCTGCTTAATGCTACTGGATTCAAGTAAGCAAGGCTATTTAAACAGGTGGTGTGGGGAAGGCTAGGGTACAGCTGTGAAGGAACAGAGGAGAACAATAGAAGAAAAAGCTTGATTTCTTTGTGCATTTAAGCCAGAACAAACCATGTGTCGGCTTGTTTTACAACCCAGAATTTTGGCTCTTTAGGCTTTTAATTAGAACGTTTTTCTCTTAGCATTTTTCTTAGTGGCAATTTTTAAACAAACAGAAGTATATTCACAGGGCAATACAATACATTAAAGAAGCCAACTTGCTGAAAATGTCTTCTGGAAAAACATAAAGGATCCAGGAAGGAAGGAGCACTGTCCCAGTTTGCTCCTTTTGGTCCACTTGTTTGGCAGTGGTGCTTCTTTTGGGAAGAGTGAGTAACTTGCAAAGCCAGCAGATTGTAGACAGCCTGTTGTGCTTGGAAACAGCCATCTCCTAACTACCATTCAGTCCCAAAATACAGTAAGAAATCACTACCGCCTGGAATCTGGGTCTGTGGGAAGTGAGTAAGTAGTCCACAGTATTTCAGGAAATCACCTTATTGATGTGTTTTTGACCAACATGTTAGCAGTCTGCTTTGGCACTTAGACAGAAGGGAGGAAGAGCTGTGGATAGCCTCAACTTTGAAGTATGCAAGGAGAACCAAGCTATGACCACAGAAATGCCTGACTGAAGCTGAAAGGGTCAGTGGAACACTGACTACACTGACTGATGTGGGCTGACTCGGCCTTTTTCCCCTGAAATTCTTCCCTCTATATATTCCAGAGGGCAGTTTTTTCTGGACTTTGCACAGCATGACATTTTCTGAGACCATCTTTTTTTCTTTTTTTTTTTTTTTTTTTTTTTTTTTAAAGGGGGTTCAGTAAGATAAAATCTGTCAGTAAAGCTCTGATGTGCCCGGATGAATGAAGGATGGATCAACCAGGTAAAAAAAAAAACAGAAAAAGTTACGCAGCCTCTGAAAGCTATAACGTGCTGCTTCTCTCTTTGGAAAAACTGTACCCAGCTGCATGATATACAGTACGGTTCTCGTTTATAGGGCTTTTCTGCCCAGACTGTAAAGTAGCATTGTGAATACCGAGTGGTGTTTATGTGTGATCTTAACATAACATAAAACACATCTTTATTGGGAACCCTCATCAGATCTTTGCTGGCCATGGTATAAGCTGGTACAGAATTGGAAACTGCACTGTGTGAAGTTTATCCATGTTTCTCCTGATAATTATTTAGGGAGGGCCATCTCCGCAGCAATTTGGTTAAAGTAAGACATGCTCTTTTATTTTGTACGAGTACCTGAAACCCTCTTCTATAAGCTCATAAAATGCGATTGCATACAAGATGTTGATGGCCTAGGGGAAGTTCTGAACAACTGGGAGTCATTACCACGATTTTGCTGCAAAAATGATCCATGATCTGCTGTGTTTTCCAACACTTTTCTCAGAAAGACCAAAGGAACTGCAAGCTTCAGAGCACTACCCTGGAAATCCATGCGTGCACTTACAACTGTGCAGAAATGAAAAAACAAGAATCCTTCCCAAACGTGCACAAACTGTTTTGTAAGAGCTCAATGCATTTGTCATCTTCTGTAATGTCTCATCAGGATGGCTATACATAACAACCTGTACATGGAAGTGCTTGCAGAGAGCAGCATTTGAGAACAAATTAGTAAGTTAATACCTCCCTTGACCTGTATCTCATCAAGCTGAATTTTAGAAACCCGTCATTACTAATATGAAGGAGAGGTTAATCTGGTAATGTGCAGTTTTAGAGTGATAGATGAGTCGAAGCACTGGAGCTATTTAGCACAGCACCGTGTGGCACCTTCTCAGCATAAGTCTCCGGACTGACAAGGATCCCACGGGGCTGTGAACCTCTCGCCACTCTTTTTGAGTAATGGGACCAAAGTTGGAGGTGAATATAAGCAGCCTTAACTCTGCTCACCCATGTCTTGCTCCAGTATTTTGCGAGTGCTATTTTAACTTGGCTTAAAAGGAATTAGCCTTGTGGTTTCTTACTAGCATGCACCTTAAATCTTTTACACTCTCTCTGACACCAGCTCTTCAGTTTATAGACAGCTCTTGTCAAAGCAGAGCTGTGTGACTGAATCCCTCAGCTGGTGCTGGAAGATCTCAGCCCAGAGAGTTCTGTGCTTGTTATCTATACAGCAAGAAGGCCAGAGTGATGCTCCCATGCTGCCACAGGCAGCGTGGATCCCTCCTTACATCGGCAGAGCTGGCAAACAAGCACAGCCCCATTGCCAGGCACACAGCTCAGCAATTCACTGAGACAGCTTCACAAAACCCTTCCTCTGTGAGATTTGTAACTCTTCACTTGTATTTAATTAAAAAATATGATTAAAAATATTTATAAGTGACACTCACACTGTTCTGTTTCATTCTAGTCCGCTCCTACTCTTGAAGCACATCTTTGACTGTCTCCCTGATGGGAACAAACACAACTTAAAACCCATTGCAGAAAGCGATAGAGGGAAACACTGCCTTCTCTGCTCGTGCCTGATGCTGACAGCTGCATACAAAATCTCAGGCACTTCTTTTGTGCCCACTTTTAAAGAGTTTAATGAAACATACAGAAAGCGATATTTGAAAACCCGCAGCTTTGGATGTCAGTTTGTTTCTTTCTTTCTTTTTCCTTCTCCAAATCACATAAAAATAGTTTCCTGCCTTTCTGCCTCAAACTTCAGTCAACGAATCACAAAGGCTATCTGCAGATAATAACATATTTCTGTTCATCGGCCTGTTGTAACAGGTGGGCAGCTAAATAACAGCACAGTAACTGTGGCAGGTGCAATTTAAGGGGCAGTCTTGGCCCTCTTTGGACATGCAAACACCATTAGCAAAAGCATCAGAGCACTTACCATTAAGGCTACTTGAAACTATCAGCCTTTGTTAGACTGAGCTGCAGGATGAAACAAAGACTAAGATCCTTCTGGGGAGAGCGTCCTATGTTCTGTCCTGTTTTATACCGGTTTGAAGGTCCGTGAGTGATTATTCATATTCTGCAACTGCGTGCAAAGTCAGATAGCATTTCTAAAGGATGCAGGAGATTCGTAGAAGGCAGAGATCAGGCATCCCTTCAGAAGGGAAAATGAATACATCCCATTTCATCAAACCGTGCAGATTTGCTACACTTACGAAAGAAGCGTAGGACTTTGTTACTGCATTTTCCCCATGGAAAGTAAGGCCCTTATTCATCAAACTAACGTACTGTACTGAAGTACATCGTGTATTCCACAGGACTGAATGCTGTGGATAAACAGATAGGCAACTGCTCATGAGATCGGAGATAAAGAGATAAAAAAAAAAAAAAAAAAAAAGGCATGGAGATAGTTTTTGAAGCATGTGAGCAAAGTAAGGAGAACAGGAGCGATGCTTTCATACATCGATCTGGATCTCCACTTTGCAGATTAATTCTGCATTTTCACAATCCCTACCCGCAAAAGTTTGGGGGTGGGGGAGAACGTGGGAGAAGCGGACTCAGACCGAGGCTCTCCATGCTCCCGGCCGGGGTTAAGCCGCGTGGCGGTGCTCACCCCTGGCCGCGCTCACATAATACCCGAATGCTGCGGCTGTGAGCGGGGATGCGGCGCGGGTCGCGGGTGTGCAGGGCCGGGGGGGGAGGGTGGGAGCCGTCCTGGGGCCGCGGAGCGGCGACATGAGGCTCTCGGGAAGCGCCAGCCAGCTCTTAAGGGCTGATTCTTCTCGGCATATTAATCCCTTCGATATAAGTAGGATATTTATCCTTTATCTCGGCTCCATCCCCGCGTTCGGATGACAGCGCTATTGTCGTCCAAACGTGCGTTAGGTGGCTCTTTATTAAGTCTATATAAATACGACCCAGCACCGCGTTCAATATTTACGGGGCGAGCGCGCTCTCAAGCGCACGATCGCGGGGAACCCCAAGGCTCGGGGAAGGGGGAGGCTGTGGTCGCCCAGCGCATCGTCCTCCTCCCGCCTCGGCCGGGGCTCCCCCCGCCCGCAGCCCCCCCGGAGCCGCCGTGTCACCCGGCGGGACGCCTCCCCCGTCCCCGCGCCGCCCCCTCCTCCCGCCCCCGCCCGCTCCCCCGGGGCGCCGCCGTCACCGCCAGCAGCCGGAGCAGCCGCTGAGCCGAGGGGCGGCGGGGCTTGCCCGCCTCTCCCTCTTCCCATCCCTTCCCTTCCCTCAGCCTCTCCCCGGTGCCTATATATAGCTGCTTCTGCCCGAGCCAGCCGGGAGAGCGCTCTGTACCTGCAAGAGACAGAAAAGACAAAATAAGAGCGGAGCGGCGAGGAGCGACTCTCCAGGGCCGGAGGGAGGAAGAGGAGGCGGAGGCGCCGCCGTCCGGTGCCGCCGCCCCCGGTGCCGGCCGAGCCCCGCGGGGGCGGCCCTCCCGATCTCCCTTCCATCCCCCACCGCCCTCCCTGCGCGGCGGCGCGGGGCGCGCATGGCTCAGGCGCTGCCGGGGCCGGGCGCGGAGCCCGACCCCGGCCCCGGCGGCTCGGGCTGCGCGGGAAGGAGAGCTCCGTGCGAACGGCGGCGCTAGGGGGAGCTGCCCGGCATGTGCTGAAGTGCCCCGCAGCAGCCGCACAAGTTGACGGAGCGGCCGGACGGCGCGGAGAGCCCGCAGCCGCACCCCCGAGCCCGTCCCGTCACCCCGGCCGGGGCTGCGGGCGATGTGAGCGGCGCCGCCCGGGCTCCCCCGGCTCGCTGCCTCCCATGTCTTCGGGGCCCCCTCGGGGGGCGGCGGCCCCGCGGGAGGCAGAGGCGGCGCTGCCGTAATGGCCCTGGAGGAGAAGCGGGAGAAGCGGCCGCCCGTCACCCCCATGATGATCGAGGAGGAGGCAGCCCTGCGCAACGGCAGCCGTGGACTGCCACCGGGGCCCTGGGCCGAGGCGGCGGGGCCGCGACCCCGCACGACGGAGCGGCACATCGCCGTGCACAAGCGCCTGGTGCTGGGCTTCGCCGTCTCCATCCTGGCGCTGCTGGCCGTGACCATGGTGGCCGTGCTGCTCAGCGTCCGCTTCGAGGAGTGCGGCGCCGCCGCCGACGGACCCCCGCGGGCCGCCAACAACGGGAGCCTGCCGGGACTCGCGGCTGGGCAGCCCCGCGGCCGGGCCGAGCCGCGGGAGGAGACGCGGGGCGGGGAGGAGGCGGCGGAGCAGCAGCAACAGCAGGAGGAGGAGGAGGAGGAGGAGTGGCAGCGGCGACGGCAGCTGCCGCCCTGGGCCCGGCCACGGCTGCCGCGGCACCTACGACCGCTGCATTACAACCTGATGCTGAACGCCTTCATGGAGAACTTCACCTTCTGCGGGGAGGTGAACGTGCAGCTGGAGGTGCGCAACGCCAGCCGCTACATCGTGCTGCACGCCCACCGCATGCACATCGAGGCGGTGCGCGTGGCCGAGGACAAGCTGGCGGGCGCCGTGCGGGTGGCACGGTCCTTCCTCTACCCCCAGACCCAGGTCCTGGTCGTCGTCCTCAACCGCAGCTTGGAGGTGCAGCGGAGTTACAACCTCAAGATCATCTACAACGCGCTCATCGAGAACGAGCTGCTCGGCTTCTTCCGCAGCTCCTACGTCCTGCACGGCGAGCGCAGGTACGGCGGGAGGAGCCCGGCGGGCGGCACGCCTCAATCCGCGCCCCTCGGCGGCGGCCCGTGCACAACTTCGGGCGGCGCGGGGCGGTGCTGCGAGGCGGGGAGGCGCCGAGGGCCGGCGCTTGGAGGGGAGGAGCTGTCGGAGTTTCTGCGGCCGGGACGGGAGAGGGGCTAGGGCTGAGGGAAGGTGGTGGCGGCAGTTGGGGCTGAAGGGGTTTCTTCGCTCCCAAAGTGAACCTTTATCGGTCGGTGCGGCCGAGAGGGAGGCTGAAAATTAGCCAAAAAAAGTAAGTCAGTCAGGAAAAGAACGGTCGCCGGTTCAAATCCACAGCCCCTGCGTTAGAGCGTACTCTTGCGCAGTGTGGTTATTGGCAGTTTTCGCCAGTCTGATGTTGGAATTGCAAGTGGGATTGAAATTGCCTGAGCCGTTTGTCATTGCCACTGAAATAAAATGAAAATTTGGAAATGCACGGCTGTAGGAAAGGATGCAGATAAAACGCCTTTATCGCAGGGAAGTGAGCGAGTGGGGCAATCAGGCGTTTCTGCAGACCTGTGTAGAAATGGGCACGCAGTAAGACAAGGCTGCCGACAGCAGGGGGGATAATTCGCTTTACAAAGGCAGCAAGAAGTTGTTTAAGCAGTTACTGCTCCTGCCTGTCTAAGCTTCCTGTGGAAATAGTTGAGCTGCCTGGTAGCTGCTTCTGCTGTGACGTTTCTTCAAAGTTACTGTTCTGTGTTCTATGCCAGTGCTCCTGTTATGATTTGGGAGTTGGAAAAAAAGAGAAAAAAGTCTGTTTATTTTCATAGCCATCAGGAGAGTGTAAGGCACAGGAATGGTAAAATGCCCTTCCCACAACTTTCTGTATCACTTCTGAGAAACGAGGCATTTTGCTTTCAATGCACTCGAATATAGTTATATTCAGCATTATCCTTACTGTACGGTAGTATGGTGTTGAAATCAGTGGTGCTGGTTTTTCTTTGCACCAGCTCACGTGTTTATTTTGGTAAAATGCTGTTTTTTAAAATCTGCATCAGTTCAGGGTTACGGTTTCAGATGTGTACCATGAGCATTGTTTTTCCCCTTGAACTATCAAAAAGTTAAAGACTCCTTGAGATATAAAATAAGTAATACACATTCTAAACCACAAAACTTTTTCATTAGAAGTGCCCTCTTGCGATTTGCATTTTGATTAGTGGCCTGATTTTAATGTAACTCATGTAACCGTTTGTCGTCCTGAAATGTGGATGATTTCTGCTGTGACAGACAGCAAGGCTTCTCTTCTGCTCCCAGGGACCTTGATTTTCCAGCAGAATTTCAGCTTTCTGACGTCTTTATATTCGATTAAAATACAGAGACATTGCTGGAGGAGTAGTTGTTGTAAAAGGGTCTAAAACATCATTTTTCACTTTTGTGATACGTCAGGAGTGAGTAATGGGTTAACTGTGAAGCTTTCCAAGTGTAACAGTGCCTTCATTTCATAATTCTTTTGTTCATAAAGTTAGTCCATTTACTGTGGTCTTCATAGGTGAAAGCCATAAATTAGCCTAAAGTGTTCACAGTAGCATGAAGTACTTATTTTCTTACTGCAATCTGTGCTACTTTAATTGAAAGCTGAAATTCAAGTGATAAGCCACAAACTTATTCTTCGTTATGTGCTAGAATTCGCTGATTACTGAATCAACAGACATTTAATACACAGCTCCTGTAGAGTACCATAGTAATATGCACACATAATTTAAATGAACATCCACCTTGGGCATAAATGAAAAAGAGAAGAGAATCGTATATTATTCAGACAAAACAAACAGACATGTTCTTCCATCTTATCACTACTAAGATGTCAAAATAGATAGCTTGTTGAGGAAACACACGTCTTCCTTTAACAGATGAGGTGGAATTAAAATACCTGCAAATTACTGCTGTGGGGATGCTGAGCAGACAGGCTGCAAGGCTGTCATTCCCAGAAGTACAACTTTTGTGGTGATATACTTGGGAATCGGAGATAAAAATGTCAGTGCCCAGAGAAGGATCTAGAGGATGAATTACTCAACCTGCTCTTCATTTTTGGTATGGGGTAGAAGTTTTGCTTGTTGTTCTTCCTAACACTTAAGGGAATAGATAAGAATCACAGAATGGCCTGGGTTGAAAAGGACCACAGTGATCATCTAGTTCCAGCCCCCCTGCTGTGTGCAGAGTTGCCAGCCACTAGACAAGGCTGCCTAAAGCCACATCCAGTCTGGCCTTGAAGCACAGACTATTTTATTTTAAGCAGTTTAGCCTTTGGAAAGAAGTTTTAAACTTTCTGTTTGTTTTACTTTATGCCACAATAAGCAAATTGGTATTTGATAATAATGTGTGCGTTACAAACACCACTGTTACTGGTAGCTGGTGTATTTTTAGTATGGAATATTGACCATCCAGTGTTTGCCCAGTTACGTCTGTGTGGATGTTATCTATTCCTCTGTGTGAATACAGAGGATGCAGAGGTCACTTGTGAAGAGACTGTTTCAATGGCCTAACACCTAACAAGACTGCAGATAGGACCCTGAAAAAGTGGGAAAAATGCTCCCTTTTTTTTAGAGGGTAACAGCATATATACAGTATTCCCTATTTATGCATTTACGTGTATATCTGAGCTCATTAAAATTGTTAATTGCAGCTGAAAGTTCATCATTCTGGCTTTATGAATAACAGGCTGGTACAAGTTTCTGAGCTCACTTGAAGCTACTGTTGGTGTCTATAGCTCTTTAGCGTGTGCCTAGAATGCAGAATCAGGACCACTTGAAATACTTTGCATATAAATTAAGTTGCTTTGCTTCATTTAATTGGCTGATTTGGCTTTGTTGCACTAGTGCAAATCCACTGATAATAATGGAATTTTCCTGGATTAACACTGGAATACCTGGCATCAACTTTTTACCTTATACTGAACAACCTTATTCAGGAATATGATGTAACTAATCTGTATTTTATAGTGAAGCAAGACAAATGCAGTATAATGAATTCCTTTGGTGATGATTTGCCTAATAAAGCCTTTTGTTTTAGACAAAAAAAAAAGTACAATGGTAAAACCTTCAGTGGTGGGAAAAAAATCTTTCTTCTTTTTTTTTTTTTTCCTTTGAATAGATTTATGAAAGAGGTGATCGTTTCACTTAAAACCATATCTGGTTGTCTCGAGCATGGATGCTCTATAGCGAGATAAGTGCAACATTTCAAGAAGTTTTTCTTCATGAATTTTATAAAATAATGCTAGCAATATTTCTAAAACCCAAGAAGTTGTAGAAAAAAATAATTATCCTTAAAGGTTTCCTGATTATTTACTTATATTTCCCCCTCAGGGTTTGAGAGCATCAGATGTTACAGAATACAGAATATGATACCATTGTTTGTACTGTAGAGTAATGCTCGTGGACTGATGAATAATGAGTGCCACCACTTTCATTTTATCAAACGTATCCACCTGCTCTCTTCCTCCAGAGGAGTAACAGATGATTATTCGACCTCTAAAATTGTGGCAAATGTTTACCAGCTATCTAAAATTGCATGGTGATTTCCACTGATGAAATCTTAAAAATTGAGACATGATTCAATACTTCTCCAAAAGCCTTCATATTTGGTTATGTAGTTTAGCTGTAGTCATTTTCTTGCCCTCTGTGCTTCAGAGAATATTCCTATTGAACACTGCAGTTCAGCCTTTTAAATGCAGCTCCTTTCTGCATAGTGATCATCATATGTGGGGTTTTGTCTGAATGGTGTAAGTTTGGAGAAAGTCTCTACTTGCAAAGGTTCCTTTTCAGTATCTGCATTAACATCTGCTTAGTTCCAAAGAAAATGATCACTGTTATTAATAATAATTGTTAGTATAATGAAATTAAACTATTGAGCTTTCCCATTTTATACAGTGGCTTGGTGTCTTCAGAAATCTTTGAGTATTTTGCCGTGTGAACTGATACGTATTTGTTCTCAATAAAATATACCACATAAGAAAGGCACCTTTGAAAAAAGGTAAACTACTCCATGCTTGTGTAATTATTTGGTTGTATTTGTGATTTTGCAAAGATCCCTGAATATATATAATTTTTTTTGTGACTATATGCAGTGGCAATACTGCTGTGTTTTAGCACAGCATGTCTGAGACCTGTCCACTTGCAGAGAAGTAATCAGCAGTGGAAAACAACAACCCCTCTGAGTACAGTGTGTGGGTGTAAGTTCTAATGTCCAAAGAAAGGCAGTGTGTGCTGTCAGTATCTCAGAGCAGAGTGAGCTCCCCAAAGGCTACTAAATCCTGGCTTTAACTGAGGCCGTGCTTGCTTATGACCGATATTGGCAAACTTTTTTTCACATACAGAACAAAACTTCTGTGAGATCCTGAAGTCTGATAGAAGGGGATTATTTAACCTCAGCGTGATGCCAGCAAATTTGTACAAAATTTATAGGCCATTACTTTATATTGATTGTGTTACAGTACAGGTAGTAAGAATTCACATCAAGAAAGGCCACAATGATAAAGCAGTGATCAGTGCTGTATACTTGTACTGTTACATTTGTTGTTGTTAAACCACAATAGTCAAGCAATGTCTGATTTACTATGCCCATGAATAGAGTGCTGGTCACAGACAGTAACTGCCGCGATGTCTTTTGTTTGCTTCTGTTCCAGGTTTCTTGGTGTTACGCAGTTCTCTCCTACTCATGCCAGAAAAGCCTTTCCTTGCTTTGATGAGCCCATCTACAAGGCCACTTTCAAAATCAGCATCAAGCATCAGGCAACTTATATATCTTTGTCCAACATGCCAGTTGAAACATCTGTTTTTGAAGAAGATGGGTGGGTTACAGATCACTTTTCACAAACCCCTCTGATGTCCACATATTACCTGGCTTGGGCAGTGTGCAATTTTACATACCGGGAAACCATCACCAAGAGTGGAGTCGTTGTAAGTATTTCTGATGTTGTACCACACACGTTTTGCGACTTTGAAAATCTCTTTTTTTTGCAAGGGATCATAACATCAAGTACTTAAAGAGTTTCTTGCTTAGCATTCCTAAAATTTGCCAGTTCATTCAATGTTAGTGTGCATTGTTTGGAGCATTTTCTAAAAGTTTACCTGATTTTTTTTTTTTATTATTATTATTTTTTTTCTCCCTGTATGGGAACTGCTGAGTCACGGCCTGAACCTCTGATTGATCACCTGAGGTGAGCCATGAGTCAGCCAGAGGAGCACAGCTGAAGGCAATTCACCTGTGCTGCTGGAAGGGGTGGAGCCAGGCTGCACCCCTCCTAGACCTATTGAAGAGCTGGCTACCAGAGGGGAAGGATCTTGTCTGGAGATCACCTCTCTTGGTGTTTTGTGGGTGAGCCCAGCGTAAGGGTAAGCCTTCCATTTATTCTCTTTTGTTTTCATAGTCTACTTCGCCTAACTCTCTTGTTTATTTTGTGGCTGTAATGTCTTGATATCCATTGATTATACACTCCCTAATGCTTTTTTTAATTGTTAAGTTTACTAAGTTTTGTTGTCTGATGAAATTTTAAACTTTCAGGTATCATTTTCAATTTACTTTTATTTCCTTAGTATGTTTTCTCTTGCTTCAATACCAATGTTAGTGGTACAGTAATATGGAAGGGTTGTTAGTCTCCTTTTAATATTGACGTTCCCGTGGTGTGCTGTGTGCTAGCTTGAGAGGCTGCTTAAGTATTTTATCTCAGAACTTGTTTAGAAGCAGAACTTTATGTTCTATCAGCTTCATGAAGCGTAGTTCCATGTTGGTGGAAGCACTGACTTTCTGGAGCTGTTGTTTCCAAATTCAGCATGATTCCAGTTATGCTGTGGAGGGAGGGAAAAAAAAAAAAAAAAAAAAGGGAAATCCTTTATTTATATCAGTTTTGTTTTTGTTTACAAATATCAAGCACAGAACTGTATAACAAGCTAAAACATACATGAGAAATGCTGTCAGCTTAATAGAATATTTCACAGTGCTGTCATCTTGATTTTTCAGGTGTATGTTCAGAGAAACACTTCCTTTTTAGTTTCTGTGAATAACAAAATTGATCTACTTTTGGAAGCTGAGGGCTAGGCTGGAGTTCTAGCTTTGTGCCCGAGCAAAGTGTATTTTTACTTTTATGCTTCTACAAATGCTCAATTACTTGTGCTGTAGTTTGGTGCCATAAAGAAGAACTGCCTGCCTCCTTACTGTTGTTGATCGGGACATGGAATGTATCCGTAATCACTTTCAGCAAGTCTGAGCTTTGAGCTGCTGCAGAGGGAGCTGATCTCACCTCCTCTCAGCCAGAAGTTTTCTTTACTTTCTTGTGCCAGTGCTCACCTCTGCACAGCCTGATGCAGTTCTGAGAACTGACCTGAAAAGATAAATGAAAATGTGTGAATGCGTTTTCAGGCAGATCAGTTCTTTGATCCATCTTCTTGTGTGACTGCCTGAGATCTAGGATTCAAGGCTGTGGTAAGATGAAGGAGTTTAGACCCAGCCCTCTTTGTTGGTGGCTTTCACTTGGGTCATACTGAAATCATGAGGAAATCAGCATCTGAGATTATTTTGTCTGAGTAATGTAATGATGTTGGAAATTCAGAGCCTGTACTTGCAGTTCCACTGGTTGCCTGTGATGGCTGCACTGCTTGTGTAGCTCAATGTTACTGAAAGAGGAAGGCTCCTAGCTCTGCTTCTTCAGGCTGGGACCAGCTGCTCCTCCCTGTGCAACAGCTCTGTGCTAGCTGAGCCATTAGTTGAGTTGATTTCACTTACAAGCTTGAAAAAATGAAACTTCTCTCTCTCTCCATTTTTTTTCTTCTTCTTTTTTAGTAAGGATATTTCTCTGTCAGTTCAGTGAGTTAATTTAGAAAAAGATTGCATATGTGCCCGTGCAAAAAAAAATGTAAGAAGGGAGAATGGTGGAGCTGATGCCTGCTTCTTAGTGCTGCTACCTTCAGATTGATTGTAGAAGAAGCATTGCTCTTGGGATGGGTAATTGGTTGCCTCAGGCTGTTGTAATAGTTGCAAGACTGACCTAAGTAGAACGGGCTGAGATTTCAGGCCATTTCTTTCTCCTTATCAATCAGTACTGAAACAGACTTCTGTCCAGGTTGGAGTTGATGATCTTCATTGTAATCCTTCCTGGTGAAGGATTTGGTCTTAAGCTCAGAACAATGTCATATTTTTCTGCTTCAGAAAACAGCAGTTACTTGTGTTTCTCCTGTAACTCCTCTAAGATGGAAGTTTTTGATATATGCTGTCTTATGTTCCTTGTTCTCTAATACAATGTATTATTTGCAAGTTCAGCATGCATAATACTACTGTATTATCTCTGACATGTCCTCTACACATCTTTAAGGAAAAAAAAAACAGTTGTAAGCTGTTCAATTTTCAGCATCACGTAAACAAATATGTGCAATGTGAAGAATGAGCTTCAGGACCATCAGTTTGAAAGATACATCCTATTTCCTCTTTATTTTCTTATGGTGTTCACAGCTCATAACTCGTAAGCTTCTGCTACTTGAGCATGTATAATATCTTGAAGACAGAAGCATACTCATGTGATATAGACACTAACTATTGCTTTCTGCTGGTCTCAAAGACAGCATCCAAGTATTTATTTCATGATGGCTGCAGTGGTCTTAGTTATGTTTGAGTCTCTTGCTCAGCAAATTTAGGACACGTTTACTCCACGACCTTGAGCGTACCACCGCACAGAACTTCATCAGCAGTTGCTGCAAATTAGTAGGCAGTTTTTGGCAAAGACATGAAAACTAGAAGCCTGTATAGATTGAGATAATCTCGTATCCTATAAGATTGCTCAGATTTGTTGAAAGAATACCTTGTGTTAACATATGGTGAACAGCTTAGAGCTGGCTTTGTTGATATGAATTGCTGAGGTAAGCCATCACTTTGTGGCTTTTATACTGTAACCCCAGGTGTCTGTGTCTATTATCTGGGTAAATTTTTGAAATTTGACCTCCTGGTGCAGGCAAGTCTAAACTTCTTGGTTCCCTCTGAAGCTGTTTGGGCACTAAAATTTACTTGTTCCTGTATTCTTGGCAAGTGAACATAAATATGTGATGAAACAAAGTTAGCTTCTAAAAATAAATGAATGTTCAAGAAAATTTAACCAACCTCTGTGATGAAACATTTTGATGTGTATTGATTGAATGGTCATAGCTGCAGGATTGTGGTCAATAGCTCTATGTCCAGGTGGAGGATAGTCATGAATGGTGTCCCCCAGACACACTGCATGACCTGTGCTCTTCAACATCTTTATCAAAAGCATAGACAGTGGAATCAAGTGCACCCTCAGCAAATTTGATAATGACACCAAGCAGAGGGGTGCGGCTGACACAACAGAAGGAAAGGCCGTCATCTAGACAGACCTGGACAGGCTCAAAAGTTAATAATAAATAAAGTTTAACAAGACCAAACGTAAGGTGTTGCACTAGGGTCTGGGCAATTCCAGATGTGAGTACAGACTGGGAGAAGAAGACACGGAGAGCATCCCTGCAGAGAAGATCTTATGGGTCTTGATGGACAAAAAGCTGGACATGAGCCAGCAGTGTGCTCTTGCAGCCTGGGAGGCCAACAGTATCCTAGGATGCATCGAAAGAGGGGTGGCCAGCAAGGTGAGGGAGGTGATTGTCCTACTCTGCTCTGACCTTCTGAAGTCCCAGCTGGAATGCTGCATTTAGGTCTGGCACCGAAGGCGCAGTAAGAATGCGGAGCTATTGGAGCAGGTCCAGAGAAGGCCACAGAGATAATCAAGTGACTGGAGTACCTCTCCTATGAAGAGAGGTTGAAGGATTTGGACTTATATTTAACTTGAAGAAGAGAAAGCTTTGGAGAGATACCATTTCAGCCTTCCAGTAGCTGTAAGGAGTTTACAGGCAGGAGAAGGACAACTTTTTAACGTGATCTGATAGTGATAGGGCAAGGGGGAATGACTTTAAACTGAAAGAGGGGAGATTTAGGTTAGATGTTAGGAATAAATTTTTTATTCAGAAGGTAGTGAAGCGCTAGAACAGATTGCTCTGAGAGCTTCTGGATGCTCACATTCCTGGAGGTGTTCAAGGCCATGTTGGACAGAATCCTGGACAGCCTGATCTAGAGGTTGGCAATCCTGACTATGGCAGGGGGATTAGAACTAGATGGAGAGGTACCCTCCAATCTATATCACTCTACGATTAAGGGGCCTTTCTTCTATTAATGGGATGTATATTATTTTATAGAACTCTGAAAGACTGCAGCTTGTGTGTATTTTTGTTTTTTGCACTTTCACAAATTTGATTTTGGTTCACAGACTGTTTAGAGGGGCTCAGGGAAAGTATCCTTTCAGATTTTGACAGTACTCTAATGCTTAAAATCTGCTCTCTCTCCTGGGTGACCACTCTTAGTAAACTGCTGTGGTCAAGGGTGGATAAACTTTCTAAGGAGTAAACAAAACAGTGAGTTTAAAAGCAGGTTTGTTCTTAAAAAAGATTAACTTCTGGCTGTTCAGTTTTTCTCAAAGAATGGCATTGACCTCAAAATTAATTTTAATCCATGCATGACATTCAAATACATACCAAGTTAAAAGTAGAAACTGACTTGGAAAACTGAGCTAGCCAATCAAATAATAATATTGATATATCCCATATTATTCTTGCAGACATGGAGACTTATATTTCATGCTCTACTATTAATTTGAAAGAGGAATTAAGTAGTGCTTTTGTAGGAGCACAGTTCAGTGGCTGTGAATCATTCCCATAACTCTTTAGTCTGTATGGGTCTGATCACAATCCCTTCCAGAGCAGGTAATTTAAAAGCAGAATTGCCTTCTTATGTGCGTTACAAGACTATAATTTGTTGCTCAGATTCATCTGGGATTACAGGGGATGATTCAAATCGTTGGAACTGCCTTTGTGTTTGAGCACAGCTTGACTCCTGTAGAAGAGACTGT